CGCTCGGGGCGGGGGCGGAGGTGGCTGGGAGGGAGCGGTCTCTGCTTGGCCCAGTCTCCTCTCTGATGCTGGGGGAGGCGCGGGGCCTGGGGCAGCTGTGCCGGCGCCCCGCACCGTGTCTGGCCGGGGTGCTTCCTTCTGTCCTCACATAGCCCCCGCCCCCTGCGGGACAGCCCGAGGAAAGGAAAAGCCGGGGATCCCATCGTGGCAACCTGCCTGTTTTCTCCCGACACACAGACACAAGGGGGTCTGTGTCTCCTCTGGTGACATTGCTCAGGGCTTGTGGATGTAATAAAAATATATTGAGTCGTATTTTTGTGTCCAACCAAGTAGCTCTTCTCTGTGTCCTCGTCTCCTCACCAACCTCAATATTGGCTGTTATTAACTGCATGTAATGTCTAATGTAAAAAAAAAAACACCTTTATTCTCAAATGGGGCAATCATGTTATCTATGGTATGGATGTCAGATACCCCTTTGCCTTAGGTATTTTATCCAAACCATGCTGAATCTAAAGGTTTATTACTAAATTGAGTTTTTAATTTGTGGTGGTTCTAAATTAACCTCCCAAATGAAAAGTGAGCTTGTTCCTAGAATCCTCAGACATCCTGAAACAATAGCTGTGGGAAAAGTGAATTTTCCTGTTCTCCATATCACTCTAACTATGGTATTTAATCTAAAGGCCAATTATAAAACAGTACATGCCATCAGCTAATTGTATCATGGATCATTTAATTATAGGCAGTGGGGAATGGTGTAGGAGTAAAGCTTGAAGGTTTTAGGCGAAATTTGGGAGTGGCTTTAAGGTAGCTTGTGCAGAGATAGAGAAAGAGAACAGAAGGAGTCACCAAAGACAAAGCAGTAGGGAAACAAAATAAGGAGGATGGTAAAATAAGCAGAATTATCAGTGTTGTAAAATGTCATATTTGGTCCTAGATTATTTTGCAAACCTTCCCTTTGATATTTGTGGTTGAGTCATAAGTGTAGAAATATGCTGTCAAATTCATTCTTTGAAGCTGACTCCCCATAATGGTATTATCAATTTGTCATTCAGTTTATTTCTGGGTAGGGTTAGATGAGATGGTGCTAGTTACTTTTTGGAGTCTTTAATAACCAAGTTAATTATACTAATATGGCTAGCAATATAATAGTGGTCATTATAAATATAACTTGCACTAAACACAGCCACTTTTGGCTAATCTGGGATTATTTGTAATTGTGGAGCTGTGTGAAACAGTACACCTTTAGTGACAGCACTGCCCAAGGATATGAGAGAGAGCATGGTTCTTGAATGCCACTTAATATGATTGGATCTTTTGTATGTTGGCTGACCAAAGTTTATTGAAACAAGTTTAGCTGTAACCAAGTCAAATATATATGTTACTGAGGGTGCAACTAGACTGCATTGCTCTTTCTGGATACCAGAAGTATCTCGAAATAGCATTGCCACGTCTTTAAAAGCGCCTGCTATTTCCTGAAGTAGTGGGTGCGCTATTCTGGTGTCCCTGTAACCCTTGCTCCATGAGAGTTAAGGGATTTGTCAGAATAGTACGCCATTTTGAAATTTGGCGCTGTGTAGACAGCACCAAATTTCAAAATAAGTTCTTTCAATTTACACTCGGAATAAGTTATGCAATTTGTGTACTACAAATTGCATAGCTTATTCCAGCAAAAGGGAGCTGTCTAGATGCACCCTAACAGGCCCTGTTTACGTTGGAGAACTGCTGTTACAGAATGCTTTACGTTTTTACGCAGATAAGTAGTAGCTGTGTCTCTGGTCATGCTGTAAACTTTTATTAGGCTCTTACTTCACCAATGATTGGGTAGTGGCATAACTGGTTAAAAACATGGTTGGTGTCCACATGGCTACTAACTTGTAAATCTTAATCATGGAGCCCCCTTTGGGGAAGCAAGTCCGAACTCCACTCCTTCTGCTCCCTTCTCTTTCCCAATGGATGGAGCCCTAAAATGCTCTGTCACTCCTTCCCTCTCGTCTGGAGGGCTGGCTGCAGCCCCAAGTCGGTCCTGGCCCCTTACCCTCCGCCTCGACATGCTCTAGGCCAGTTGCAGTTGTGTATCTGCTTCCCACCTCAGACTGGAGCAGCCCTAGGGAAAAACATCTCTTCAAAAGTTATTTTTGATATGCTCCATGCAGGATCTGGAGTAGTGGAGGCAGCAGTATTTGCTACTCAGCTTCCTGGGTTTCTCAGTCATCTCCCTGTAATGAAGTTGCAAATATGGTACCTATTTTTAAGAGGGCGTAAAATAAAAATTGATCTGGGAAACTACAGGCTCTTTAGTTTGATCTCAGTTATATTCAAGGTCTTAAAAGGGCCCTACACTGCGGTGCAGAGGAATGTTTGGTGGTGATATGGTGGGGTCACGCCAACCCTCAAAGGGAGATAGGGATGGCATGCTACCTGGCCTCTCACCGCCTCCTGCTCTGCTCTGGTCCCACCCCCAAATTGAGCTTCAGGTCATGGTTCTGTTCCTTGTCTGGGGACAAGGCTGGGGGTGGAGGTAGGCCAGGAGTGGAGCTGGCCCCTACTGCTGTTCCCTGTCACAGCCTTGCCACTGACTCTGCTCCTGCCCCACTGCAAGTCCCAGCACCATCCCAAGCTGCAGCTCCAGCCTTCCCCTCCTTCCCAGCTGAGCTATGTCCCCACTCCCAGCCCTGGCTCTAGAGAAGGGGAAGGGGCTGGGGCCACAGACTGGGATTGGGGGATGCATTGCCCTCAGAAGTTTGGATACGACTATCTTGGAACACATTTTGAAAGGGAAAGTTGTTAAGGACATAGAGGTAAACGTAATTGGAATGAAATGCAGCATGGTTTTGCAGAAGGTAGATCTAGCCAAACCAACCTGATCTTTCTGCCCATGGTCCCACCTCTTCCGGGATGGCCTGTGGCCACTTAGGAAATTTGTGAAGTGCCCCCCACACCAAATATTGCCCATACCTGTCATACCCCCTCCTGCATCCCTAGTCACAGCCCTAGACTCCCTCTCAGAGCCAGCCCCCCATACTTCCTCCTGCACTCCAAGCCCCAACCCTGAGCCTGCTGTCAGAGCCAGCACACCACATCCCTTCTTCCCCTTCAACCTCCTGCTCAAGTTCAGTGAAAGTGAAGGAGAAAGGGGAGCTGGAGAGAGCATGGAAGGATAGGGTTGAGGGGAGATGGAGCAGGCAGGGTTGCTCTTAAATTCAAAGAGTGATCTTGGGCATAAAAAGGTTGGAGACTACTTCTGTAAGTAACCCAATATGAGCTCTCCCTGTAAGCTGTGCAACCGCTCCAGAAACATTTAAAAGCTGCCCAGTTGATTAGCAGAGCACCTGCAGTTAGGTTTTTGTTTCTATTAGTGGTACACATTCGTACATGCCTCGGTGCACAGATAAAAATGTATTCCCTAAGGGTATGTCTACATTGCATTCCTCGTTCGAGAGAGGAATGCAAATACAGACAAAAGAAATGGCAAATGAAGCACGGATTTGAATTTCCCACGCTTCATTTGCATAATCGCGGCTGGCAGCTTTTTCTAAATATCCTATTTTGAGAGGAAAAAATGCTGTTTAGATGTGGTTATTTTGAGAAAAAACCCGTCTTTTGAAATAACCTTTACTCCTTATAGATTTAAGGGTTATTTCTTGAAATGCGTCTAAACAGCGTTTTTTATCTCAAAATAAGATATTTCGAAAAAGCGGCCAGCAGCAATTATGCAAATGGAGCACGGGAAATTCAAATCCGTGCTTCATTGGCAATTTCATTTGTCTGTATTTGCATTCCTCTCTCGAAGGAGGAATGCAATGCAGACATATTCTAAGACAAGTGGATGGAAAAGATTAGAGGGAACATTGCCCAGTATTGGATTATCTACCTGTGTGAATGGGCTTCCTTTTTCCTACCACTGTAACCAGTAAATCAAATCCTCTCTTCTCCACTTATGATGTCCAGTGATGCATC